GATCCGCCCTTCTCTGTGTGTGACAGGGGGCGGTGCCCCAACTCCCCTATCGGCCCTACTCTGTGCGTGACACGGGGGAGCTCCCCAACTCTCTGATGGGCCCTGCTCCGTGGGTGACTGGGTAAGGAGCCCCAACCCTCCTGATGGGCCCTGCTCTGTGCGTGACGGGGTGGCGCCGCAACCTCCCCATCGACCCTACCTTGAGTGTGACAGGGGACGGTGCCCCAACCCCCCAATCGGCCCTACCCTGAGCGTGACTGGGGGTGGCATCGCAACCTCCCGATCTGCCCTGCTCTGTGCATGACAGGCACGGTGCCCCAACTCCCCAATCGGCCCTGCTCTGAGCCCGACCAGGGGCTGCACCTAGGGATTAGGCCTGCCCTCTGCCACCCGGGAGCAGGCCTAAGCCAGCAGGGCGTTATCTCCCGAGGGGTCCCAGACTTCGAGAGGGCACAGGACGGGCTGAGGGACCCCCTCTTCCCCCGCGAGTGCACAAATTTTTGTGCACCGGGCCCCTAGTATATATATAATCTTAAACCAATTTTAGGGGAAATATAATGCTCAAAAAATACTTTTAAGAGTTTATTCACACCAGGGAAGCATATTGTTGTATTTAAAAAAAAAAAAGGATCATTTTGTTGGCAGTGGAAGGAATTTCCACAATTTGTAGCCAGACACATGGCTTTAAATTTTATTTCCTCTGTTTGTTATCATATGTGCTCACCTATCCATATCTCCCCATAAAACCCCATATGCTCTGTCTCTTTCTCGTGAAGGTATTTTTCTGACAAAGCAGAAAGAACAATGTAAGAAAATAGCCTGGATTCAAATTCTAGCTTCACTATTTTCTAGCTCTACTATTTTCTAGCTCTATGGCCTTGAATAAGTTGCTTGATTTACCTTAAGTTTTGAAATATGTATATAAAAATGAGATTTAGGGGATATTAATATGCATACTGTGGGTTTTTCTGAGGATTAAATGAGTTATTTTATAGTAAGAACAAAGCCAGTTGTTTGCTTTATAGTAGGTGCCCAATAAGTGACAATTTTCTATGTGTTTTAATAAAACTAAACCTAAATCACCCAGTTGTGAAACTGAGTATGTCCCATTTGCCAGTGCAGGAATGGCACATTGGCTGACACTGTGTCTCATCTCCTCACTTGTGCCCTAGCAGCCATGAATGCGCTGTGGCATGATAATAATACAAGTCCTTGCTCCTGGGTGCTTGGCAGGATTACTTTCCCAAAGAGCATACAGAGAAGTTACCACTTCAGAGTTATCACAGGCTTCTCATGACTTAATTTTAGAGGTATTAGAGTTGAGAACAGGGACTCATTTTCATCGAACGAGTATCTTGCACATAAAAGAAAATGAAGGCATGAAAATTGGTTTTACATACCAATGAGAAGGGAAATTTATTACCAGTTCCATATCCAAAAAAGAAAAATTGGGGCTTGCTGTTTGATGAAGACAGAAGGTATAAGAACAGGCTCCCTTCCCGAGTTCAGCATCACCTCACAGGCCTCAAACAATGCCAGCTCTTCATGGGGACTGAATTTGATAAAATTCCATAGTCAGCTTTTATCAAAGCCACTGCAAAGGAGATCTGTGCAGAAATGATGCAGAAAGTGGTGTGTGTGTGTGTGTGTGTGTGTGTGTGTGTGTGTGTGTGTGTGTGTTTAAATGATGAAATGTTGAATACCTGCTGAATGAACAATGAAATAACATATGCAACACTTCTTTGTTGACTGGAAAGCACTATGCAAATACAAGCAATTGTCTTTGCTAATATCATAGTTGTAATATTTATAATTCTTTTTTATTAAACTTGTTATCTGTTTCCAAGTCTGTGGGTAAACCATGATCTGAATTCTTTGGCATGGCCAACTATTCCCATTATTAAAATAATGTGCATGTACATTAAGAAGTTTGGGAGCCCTAACCGGTTTGGCTCAGTGGATAGAGCGTCGGCCTATGGACTGAAGGGTCGATTCCGGACAAGGGCATGTACCTTGGTTGCGGGCACATCTCCAGTAGGGGGTGTGCAGGAGGCAGCTGATCGATGTTTCTCACTCATCGATGTTTCTAACTCTCTATTCCTCTCCCTTCCTCTCTGTAAAAAAAATCAATAAAATATATATTTTTTAAAAAAGAAGTTTGAGAAAAGGTATGCTGTGTTTTGTTCAATGTCTTGGTTATTTAAAAACCTGCTTTTCAGTTAGAGTTTTCATTTGTCTTAATTAAGAAATATTTTTTCTTATTTTTACTGATAGTCATTTGAAAAATAATGGCTAGATTAAAAGAAAACAGATACTCATACTCAATTTACAAGGTCTTGGTTGTTACTATATTAAATTTGACTTCTTGTTTCTTTATGTTATTAACATTTATTTACATATTTCTCATTCTGCCCCTTTCACGTTAGCAGTCCAATTTTTTCATTCATTCAATAAATGATTTCATAGCACCTGCTATCTGTGTTTGATAGACACACTGGTAAGTTCCGCCACTACTCTTCAATAGGAAGCCAATAATCTCCCAACTAATACAAAATTAAACTCTGATAGGTGCTATGCAGGAGAGGAATGTGCTGCAGTGAGAACATGTAATGGACCATCTGACCCATCAGGGGGACCAGGAAGATTTTCCTACGGAGAGGAAACACACGTGGACTTAGAGTCTAAACACCTGTGTGCCTTTGGATGGATTGTTTCAGAGCCTCATACTCTCTATTGTAAAATAGGAGCGTGAATGTTGATCTCTCATGCTAGATGTGTGGATTAAACATACAGCAGGCATTGTCTGCCCTTTCCCCTCTGCAGTCCATCATTTGTGCATAGAGAGAGTGATATTTTTAAAGGCATCTAGATTATGCTGTGTCTCTGCTCACACACCCTTGGTGGCCTTCTCTCAATTGCAGGAAAATTCTAAAATCTTTCCAGTGGTCCAGGAGGCCCCAGATGAATTAGCTCTTGCTCACCTCTCCTGCCTCTCACCTCATTCTCAGCCTTTTCCAGCCATTCCTAGTACAGCATTTTTATTTTATTTTTTCTATTTCTTAATCCCAGCAAGCCAAGTTAATTGCCACCCAATGGCTCTTATCATCCTGTATTTGCTCTTCTCTCTCCAATGCTCCCTCCAAATATTCACATAACTCACTGTCTCATTTATTTTGGGCCTTTGGCTGACATCATCTCCTCAGTTCTACTTTTTTTCATCCCTTTATCTAAGTTATCTCCTGCCACCCACATTTCCTACCTGGTGTCTGTTTCCTTTCCTCTAACCCTGCTTTGAGTTTTCTTCACAGCATTTTTTTATAGTGCTAATTGTCATAAGAAAATCACAATAATAATATTTACTATTAATAAATCACAATATTGATTGCATCACACATTTTCACAAAACATTGATTTTCACAGAGCAGAATCTGTGCTTGTTATATAATATATGCCCCACAATTACCAGGTGTAACAGTTATATGGATTTTTTTCAGTAGATGGAGTTGATATATATGTGATTTGATACGTATGCTATTTTGTTGTATTGCCAACAGGCTTCAAAACTTCATGTCAAATTTTCTGAAGGTGTTAACATCATAGATATTTTTATGCTTAAAAATGTCAAATTTTAATGCCAAAAAAGAGCATTTGTGGGAAGTTTTAATTCATTACTTTATTTTGAAGAAAAGTGCTGCTGAAAGATTCAGGAAGTTTATGGTGAACATGCTCCATCTCAAGATACTTGTGAACGCTGGCTTAAACGCTTTAAAAGTGATGATTTCAATATGAAAGAGAAAGAACATCCAGGTCAACTGAAAAAGTTTGTAGACCAACAATTACAATTATTGGATGGAGATGCGTGTCAAACTCAAAAACAACTTGCAGAAAGATTAAATATTGCTCAGAAAACAATTTCCGATCGTTTACAAGCAATGGGAAAGATTTTAAAGGAAGGAAAATGGGTGCCACATCAACTGAACGAAAGACAAATGTAAAACCAAAAAGTCATCAGTAAAATGTTGATTCAGCAGCATGAAAGAAAGTCTTTTGTGCATCAAATTGTAACTGGCGATGAAAAGTGGATTTATTTTGAGAATCCCCAAATGCACAGAATCATGGGTTGATCCCGGTCAACTATCAACATTGACTGCAAGGCCAAATCGCTTTGGAAAGAAGACAATGCTCTGCATTTGGTGGGATCAGGAAGGTGTGGTGTATGATGAGCTTCTAAAGCCAGGTGAAACCATTAATACTGATCACTACCGACAACAAATAATCAATTTGAACCACGCTTTGATCATGAAACGACCAGAATGTGCCAGAAGACACAGCAAAGTAATTTTGCTTCATGATGACGAACCATCACACACTTCAAAACCAGTTAAAGAAACGTTAAAAGATCTTGCCTGGGAAGTATTATCCCCCCTGCCATATTC